TGTATGCCCTTCTATTGGTGGGTTCCCACTTCCCAGTCGCTAACGTATAACGTATACTAAAGTACCGCTGAGGTATGCTTTCGACCCCTGATCGATCTAGAGGTTTGTGGGAAAAAAGAGCATGCTGCTCGTGACGAGAGAAAGCCGATGATACCCATTTACAAGGTTTCGGATCATCTCAGGACTCAGGTCGTCGCCAATAAGTAGGGAAACTCGGGACCTGCTAGAACTTTGCGAATGTAAGTTGTGATGGTTTTTCGAGGTTCTGATTACGAATATTATCTTAGTTTTGAACGAAGATGATGACTCCATGCATTTGGGGTAGATCAGGTCAGGTCAGATTGACCAGTACCTAATAGTGGATGACCACCACTGATTGCTTCCTAACATGTTATACATATGTATAAGCAACACAACTACTTCCTAAATGTTCAGATGGGCGCTAAGTTCAAAATCAGCTCCAAAACTATCCTATACCTAAATTAAAAGCATGTTATGAAAAAGTGAACCAAGGTCATCTTTATTTGAATCAGGGATATCGATTTATTTTCAAGTAGGTGATTAACTCGAGCGCACCGGAAGTTTCGTTGCAATCGGCTCCTTTTTGCGCGACTTCTTTGCGAAAGCCCGAGACGGTTTCATCTGACTCCCTTTCCCCTACAATCTACATGTGCACTGAACAGCTAGTTGTGACGGTAGCCATGGGGCTGAGGCTAGTTTGTAGTTTTGTAGTTAGGTACTGATCCGACGAATCGACTGCGACCATTTTTTTAACGATCAGACGAAAGCTCGTGGCAGTTTTGGCGCGTCCAATCTTTTGAGGGATAAAAAGGTACTAGAATGGTGGCTACTTAAAAATATTGTTGTGCTGGTGTTCCCCGCCCACAGCTAATTGAACTTTAGGTAATTGGCTAATTGGCTTTAGGGAGCTCTTGAAGCGATTCTGAATCTGATGTATTTGTTGGTGTTGCTGACGCCTGCTTCACTGACATAAAAGCTAAAAAAGCATACTCAGCATCGCAAAAAGTGGGGGGGTCGACACCCCCAGTTTTCAAGAGTGGGGGGGTCACGACCCCCCCGACCCCCCCGTCGGCGACGCCCCTGCATGCAAACATTATCCAACGATGCATCGAACGGAATGAGATAATGATGCAGAAGGTGACCAACGATCTTATTTCACTGCAAGTGTTCATGACTCGCCGGACATATTGATTTTCTTCATACATACATACCGAAAGGCCAAATGGGCCATAAACGGTGGAACGGGAGGGCACCGGGGCACCGTGCCCCCTCCCCCTTGATTTTGGCATTTTAACATTAGCCCTATGGGCGTTGCATGGAAAGAATGGGACCAAAAGTCGGCAGTGCCCCCCCCCCCTTAATTGAAGGTGTTCCGCCGCGACTGAAATGGGCCATACTGAGGCATAGGGGAGACCGGGGAGAAGTGGGACATTATTTTGACATCATCTTTGAAAATTCGTAAAAAATGAATATTTTAGGTTCAAGTAACTTGATTGCATTTACTGGTAAACGGTTTATTTTTACTTTATTCTTTACGGTTTTTATGCGTGTTTGTTCACGTGTTGCTTTTCAAATTTATATTTTAGAAAAGTTGACAATGGGGGGGGGGGGGAACTGGGACACGTCCAGGAGAAGTGAGACAGATGATGGGGAGAACTGAGACTGGCCAAGATGTATGATTTAAATGGAATGCAATTAAAATTTGATGACCCCTCACCAAGAAGATGGTGTTTTAAAAATTGTCACCTCAATTAACTTTTTTGAACTACTCTGACAGCACTGAGTATCCTGGAAAATTTATGTTAAACTTATAGTATTGAGCCTTCCCCTTCAATATACTAGGTCGTTCAATAAGTAAGGTAAAATGTACCATAGTTCATTTATATGAGGAATTCAAACAAAATCAAATATGCCATCTGAATCTTTGAACAATTTTCTACACAACCATCCAAACTGTTTTTGGGAGTTTGGCTCATCGTCCGAACACGGTAGGTGTGAAAACATTGATGCAGCAGAGTTCCGTTCTAAAAATCTCCGGTTTGTCACGCGAGCCAAAATTCACCTCAAAATGAGTGAGTTGACGCTGATGACGCTTTTGCCATTAGCAATGCTTGCTTGTGAACAGCTGGTACGATTTCAACAAGAACACAGCAGTGTAAGAGACAAAGTTCTAGAGCAGGTAGACTTGTGCCCGCACGGCTCTCTGGACTTGGCACAGCACAATCTGTAAAGTCGGGGAGCTGATTATGGAGACCCGAAGCATCTGCGTGACTGCTTAACAGGGTTATGTCGAAACAGTTCTAGGCATCATCAGATATGCTTGATATTTACAAGGTCATCACGAGGTTAATACAGAAAGAGCTCGCTGAACAACAGAAAGACGCCCAGCGAGGCATCAGTGTGAGATCGCCTTTGCTTTAGCAGTACAGGAAAGCTGAAGTACAGCCGTGATCTGGCGCCGTCCCTTTTGAATCTGTTTGGACCACCGGAAAACCTGCTGTGTACGTTGGAATCTCAACTGATCAGGCAATCAATAAAATAATCAAGACATGGCTTTGGAGTAGCAATAAGGAGTTTTCCAAGCAGGATTTCAACGCCGGGTGGAGTGCTAGGATAAGCGCGTGCGCCTGAACGGCGATTGGATGTAGGTGCCAGTTCCGAAGGCTGGGGAGGCTGGCCGAAGAGACCTGCTTACAAATGCTTATAGCCAATTTGTAGACGATATTTCAATAAACATATGTTGCTAGTTTTGTGTCGTTGCACCAAATGTGGACTGAAATACGTGTGATTTTACCTTACTTATTGAACGACCTAGTAGATCATCCAGTCAAGTACGAGCACCGGTATAAGGGCTAGCTCTGGATTCTGACGCTCGACTTCGCACGTCTGAATCGTTTCCGCACCACTGATTGATCTGAATTCCAGCCTCCTGATGTGCGATGCCTATGTAGGCGTAGCTATATCTGCACGGCGCACTGGTAAATTGGAATCTGTCGCCACTCAGTGCGACCGGCCGTGCGGAGAAAATCTCCCAGGTCCGGGAGCTGGTTACATGGCCGAACGGACACGCGTTGCCTGTCTGGAACTGGCTTCAGGGAGACTAGTTGGAGATGATAAGCCAGGATCGTAGAATTCAGTTGTAACGCCCTCTTATAGAATAGTTTTGCTAGATTTGGGATTACCCAAATTACTTCCACGTAACGGTTATGTGTTATTTATATTTTATTCTACCAAATTTTACTAGAGCTGTAGGTTCTTTGCATGTTTTTGACCGGGTATCGACAGTTCTGAAGGCTTTCATACACATTAATAAGCAAATATATGAACCAATAACAAGTAGGGCCAACTGGATAATGCACGGCAAATTGAGCGGCACGCAATCGGCGCAACCGTCGTTGGCTCTGATTTTTGAAACCATGGAACGCCCAGTTCCCACGTGTGGACTGCTTACCATACTTAGATCACATCGGCTAAACCTTTCCCGACGTGGTACTTTGCAGACCAAGAAAAAGACAGAAGTGATCAATGATGAACAAAACTCTCTTACCTTCGTGTGTAGTTCCAAACGATGCTACTTTGTGAAATCAGCTATCATACGGTGAGGTCAATATCAAATATTTATCCTAATAAATATTTGATATTGTTAATATTTATCAAATATTTATATATGAGGTCTATGCAAACATTTATCCTTAACGGTAAAGCCGTCAGCCAGCTGCAGACAGCTAAACTACGAGAGCCGACCGACTGTGAACAGTTCTGAATCCCGACAGTGCTGGCAGGGCGGCTGAGCTCGGTCGTTCTGAGGCGGCCAGTGGTCCCGTCTGTATATTTACCCGATCGTTCGAGCCAACGACCAACGGGCCCGTTTGTCACAGCGGCCTTGTTTGCATATGGAGGCGTGCCACTCTGTATATGAGACGGCTGTCTTGACGGTTGCTTAGTGTGATTGTATGTGCGTATCTGCGTCGCGTGTTCGTGTGTGGTATGTCTTACGCGGCCCTTGCCCAGTACATGGAAGCGTTGCAGTCTGGTCTACGCTCTGGCTCTCCCTGCAGCGGCTCACACGGTAGCGCTGTAGCTGCTCTGAGCTCTGTCTACTCTCAGCGGCTCTCGGTCGCGCGGCAGCTCACTGCTGGTCTGATCTCAGGGTCTCCCCGTACAGCGGCGCACATTAGCGCTGATCTCCTGCTCTCGAGTGGGTCTCGAGGGCACTCGGCGCCGGCCGGCGTAACTGCGCTCCAGTGCAGCCGGCGACCGACAGACGGCTCCGGCAGCGCCAGTCCGGGCTGTGCCTGCTCACGATTTTACCCGTGCATACTCGTCCGTTCTCCGCCCGTCTTTTCCGATCGACAAGCTTGTCCAGTCAATCCTGATCCTGACCACTCTTTATCTTTAAGTCCGTCTCTACCCCACTAGTCATTTCGTCTGGCTGTTGGTTTCTCGCAGCACCTCTGTTCTTTTCATCTTCTGTCCATCATCATCTGATAATTCTGTTTGCCCGTTCGTCCGTCCGTCTATCCCGCCCGGTACGTCCGCCCGTCCTGCTAGTCTATCTCCCGCTGGTTCCCTGTCGTCTCGTCCCGCCCGTCCCGTAGCGCTGCCCCGTCCGTCCCGTAGCTTTGCCCCGCCCGTCCCGTAGCTCTGCCCCGCCCGTCCCGTAGCTCTGTCCCGTCCGTCCCGTAGCTCTGCCCCGCCCGTCCCGTAGCTCTGCCCCGCCCGTCCCGTAGCTTTGCCCCGCCCGTCCCTTAGGTCTCCCACGTCCGTCCCCCGTAGCTCTGCCCCGCCCGTCCCGTAGCGCTGCCCCGTCCGTCCCGTAGCTCTGCCCCGTCCGTCCCGTAGCGCTGCCCCTTCCGTCCCGTGTGGCACGTCCGGCCGCCGCGGTGCGAGGCGTCGGCGCCCGGCCGGCCGTCGGGTTCCGTCGGTATACCCACGCGCGGGCGGCGCCCCACCAGTCGGCCGGCCGTCGGAGCCCGCACTCCGTCGGTACCCACACTAGAGCCCACCAGTCGGCGTGCCGGCCGCACTGCGCGGTAGCTCGCAGCCTCAGCAGGCGGACGGCTGAGGGCTGAGATCCGGGGCAGCACCCCACCCCGTACGGACCAGGCGAAGAGCGTAGGAGTGTCGCTGAGCACCTCGGTTCCGCGCGGATGGTACGCCGTAGAGTTGACGGTGACAGAGGCAGTGACGGTTCCAGGAACCGGGGATAGACACCGTGACAGCCCGGGGTGCCCGTGACAGTTTCAGCCGTCTGTCAGAGTGTGGCCACTGACACTTCTGGCAGATCGTCCGCCGGTGCAGCGGCGGAGGCCTCAGGGATCACCCAACCGAGATGTAAGGTGAGTGGATAATACTTCATATCTCCGTGAATGGGATCTCTCCAGATATGTGACTAAAAAAACGAGAGATGAAGAAGGGAGGGCTTCCTTGAACACGGCTATAAAATAAAGCATTTTCCTACGCATTCAGCTCTAAGCATAGTAGGTAGTCTTGGTCAGCCTATTGAATAATCTTAGTTCTCTCTGTCGGGATTCATGCGACAGGTTTTTGATACACATACCTATTTAAGTGATAAATATGCGTACTGAGTTTATCCCGTAATAGAAGGACGGCTGACTGATACTGCGTTTTACTTTCGCACCCCCGATGGGCAGTGGCCGACATATCTGTGCTGCTGTTTCTGTGATGCAATGGCCTGCATAGATGACCTGTTGACCGTGTTTACTGCCGCTGCATGACACCACTGTCAACACTCGTTTGGCGCTGCTGCGCTGTTATCACATCGGTGGCTGTCGGCCGCAAAATCCAATATCATGTCTATACCTACCTAACGCCCATCCCGCTGATAGGCGGGGCCAGTTTGGATTACGTAGACGCGTGGCCAGTTTGGATTACGTAGACGCGTGGCCAGTTTGGATTACGTAGACGCGTGGCCAGTATAAACTGACGTGGCAGATACCGCATGTGTTTTGTGCATTGCGCACAAATCATAATAGTCTTATTGGGTGCTGCAGATATCGCTGTCACGTAGTGTTCCTAACTCAATAGAGCGATATCTGGAGCCCTCGATAAGCGTTCCGATAGCGGTTCACTGCCGCTTAACGACTCAGGGATCCATTGTTCGTCTGGAGGTGCTCGGGACCTCTCAGAAACAGTCTCAACGATGTTCTGTTCATTAATCGTCATTATCTGCGGAGCCGCTGTCGGGCAATGTCGGACACTGAGGTTGAACGTCAGCCAAATGTTAGCTGTGACCTGTGGGCCGTGTGGGGTTAAGGGTTAATACAAGCCAACGGTGATTGTCGACTTATACCAATCTTATCAAGCCCACAGTGGCAGTTTCGTACGGTCGATGCTCGGCGTTGCTGAACAACCAAATAGGATGAGCTTGCCAGCGCGAGCGGTTGTTCCTCCCACGAAATTTGGCACGATAGGACGATGTTTAAATAATTCGGTAAAAATCTGAGCGAAACAGGATGTGATTACCAACAATTACGGCTGTGGTGATATGCAGCAGATGATAAGTGGCAAACGACAATGCTATAGGACACAGGCTATTGAGTTTTAGAATGTTTGGCAATCGCAAGCGCCGAGCGTTAAAATGTCGTGCCATAACAGCCAGGTCGTGCTTAACAGTTAGACCATGCTCTTATAACCAGGCCGTGAGCCAACAGCCAGGCCTTGAGCTAACAGCCAGGCCTTGAGCCAACAGTCGGGTTGTGTGAAATGTTCCAATCAAGATTACTTTTGCAGAGTCTGCCATCTGGGACGCAGGCCGGCTGACTGGGCTAAGAAATATTGAACTCGCCGGATCTGCAATTAAGGTTAATGCTCGGCCTGTAACTGGACTTTGCACCGGTAATCTTTGAACGCCATAAGTTCTTCAAGAAAGTCATTTAGCGCTTGCTATCGAGATCGACTCTAAACGAACGTGATCTTTAACAAAAGGCTTTAATGAAGCTCTGTAAGTCTATAGATACAACATTAAAAGATGCTTCCAAATGCTTTGACAGTGAAGGGGTAACCGGTAAGCTCATGCTACATATATAATATTTCTGTTTGTTTTGGAGGAATTGGAAGAACACTTACGAGTAGAGCTACCAAATCACCTCATTAGAAGGTAGGTAGTTGAATAATTTTACCAAGCCTTGTGCTACATCTCGAAAAAATGCGGTGATAGTAAAACGTTTCGTGATCCCCAACAGACGCTTTTCAGAATCTTGTTCCGAGTCGTCCGAATGGTAGCGGCACTTACCTCGGGCGTACAACTTTTAAAACTTACTCCGAAGGAGCACGATTGAGTCTCATATCATCATGCGGGAAGCTGGAAGTGTCCTGAGTTCGTGGTTATATTATGCGCCCATTTCACAGAACAGTGCCTCTTGCAAGTTAAAAGCTCTCGCACGTTTCTCATTAAAACCAGAGACGCGAGAAAGCGTATTCCACGCGTCCGCCCCGGGGAGAGAGAGAGAGAGAGAGAGAGAGAGAGAGAGAGAGAGAGAGAGAGAGAGAGAGAGAGAGAGAGAGAGAGAGAGAGAGAGAGAGATGGAGAGAGAAAGAGAGAGAGAAAGAGAGAGAGAGAGAGAGAGAGAGAGAGAGAGAGAGAGAGAGAGAGAGAGAGAGAGAGAGAGAGAGAGAGAGAGAGAGAGAGAGAGAGAGAGAGAGAGAGAGAGAGAGAGAGAGAGAGAGAGAGCACAGCAGAGCCACGCCGTTAAATCCACGAACTTTCCCCGAACGAGGTCATGAAATGCGTACGTGAAGTGCACCTGATTAAACCCCGGCGGTTGGTGGCCGGTGTCGTCAATGGTCCCAGTTACGCGGCTAGCGTACCCACGCAGATGGATGTTTGCGCGTCCGCCCCAGTGCACTGCATCCATCGGAACCACTCTCGGAGTCTCATTATTGCACCAGATCGCCGCCTCTGCCGCCAGGAGCACCGCACGTATACAAATATGTAGGTACGTCGAGCGGTACTGGGGACGCCCGCGGTGCTCCCCTGAGGCCGCTTCCACCGTCGCCGCCGGCACTGCCGGCATCCATTACAATTAGCCGGCGGGCAGATTGCGGCCGGCGGCGACTACGGCTGTCCTCTGCGACACGAGCTCCCGCGGGGCTGGCGGCGGCGAGGCGCGCGCTCAGGTGCCGCGGGGTCGATACGGCCGGCCGTTCGTGCACCGATACACCGTGCAGGCCGGTGACGCGCCCGCCGAGATGACGACCCGGCGCGCTCGATCGATCTGTCGGCGCCGCCGGCTGCCGCAGCTGGCCGCTAACGAAGCCGACAGCTGACCGCCCGCGTGACGGCCGCTGTCGGCGGCACTCTCGGTCGGCCGGCGCTTCACTGAAGATCAAATCAATATCGGCATGCGGTGCTGTCGACCCGGAGCGCTGCGACCCGTTCTCGACAAATGGCCGTCGCGCAGATGCGTCAAACGGTGGGCATCGCTGACCATCAGGAGACGGCTGATCCCGAAATGTCATCCGATTGAAGGCTGATGGCGGCGCATGCCTTGTCCTCCTCTCAGCATGACTGCGATCGAGGAATTTTAATGAATTTAGGAGGGTTATACCACGATATTGACCGTTTCAGATGATTTCTCCGTTTGGCACGCCTCTGTGGGCTAACACGGCAATATGCTAAGCTTATGCGTGCGTATGGTTTAGTTAGTGCTGCCTTTTCAAGATAATTTTTACCATAACATAATTTGTAACTGTGGAAGATGTACTCAAACATCAAAATATATCTGCCCTCCTATTTACATGACATAGTACAAATAAATCATACCTTCCACTAATTGCAATGAACGTAGTTAAGTGGCAACATTTAAAAATTGTTTCAGTTAGTGCTCATCAAAAGTAGCTATTGCAGCATGTCATACACAGCAAGTTCATCTTTAATGTACATTTAACGCCATTTTAGAAAATGCTATCAATTAGAAAAAAAATGAGGAAACGGTTTAAGCGTCGGGGAGCGAAAACCAAGACGGCCCACCAGTATCTTATCATAGATGTGTGGGGTAGGTTGCATGTGCTATTTTGATGGATTTGTGACCTCCAGCAAGAATACGGCGCCGCCTGCCGGGATATCCTCCTCCTCCCCCCCCCCCCCGCCCCGCCGCTGTTACTTGAGCTGAAAACTGAAACTGGCCGAGAAAGCTGTTGTGCCTACTGTGCCGCATTACAGGCGCCTATAAAGGATACTGTGCCGCATTACCCATGTATGCCTGAAAGGATACTGTGCTGCATTACCCATGAACGCCTGAAAGGATACTGTGCCGCATTACCCATGAACGCCTGAAAGGATACTGTGCCGCATTACCCATGAACGCCTGTAAAGGATACTGTGCCGCATTACCCATGCACGCCTGAAAGGATACTGTGCCGCATTACCCATGAACGCCTGAAAGGATACTATGCCGCATTACCCATGAACGCCTGAAAGGATACTGTGCCGCATTACCCATGAACGCCTGAAAGGATACTCAATACTCATCGGCATTACAGGCGCTTGAAAAGGATAGGTACTGTGCCGCATTACAGGCGCCTGAAAGGAAACTGGCAGAATGAAACCTCCGCAGCTTTCGCTCATGTTTTTGCGTCGGATTTTAGCGCTTTAGAATTATGGATGACGGCGCCCATAAAGGTGTAAGCACGGTACACACGATTGATTGAAAGTGACGAATGGGCAGACTGAGTGTAAAAGAATCGGTGTAAAAGAAACGAAGAGGCGCAAACGTCTGAGAGTTGAGATATTCGTTAAATATCAGCTTTTATACAAGATGCAAATGGGCGTTGACTAAATTATAATTTTTGTAATAAAGTGGCGAAGTAATCAAATTAGCAGCATGATGGCGTAGCGAAAAGGCATAATCTTATGACACACTGCTTTAAAATTTGAAGTTTAGACTAAGGTTTAGGTAACTTTTTGAAGACAGTGAGCAAACGGTTACTTCTTAGCGCTGTTACATTCTGTCTTTGTTGAAACGTTATAAAATTTATAAATACCGCTTGCAAATCAATGCATAGTTGAATGGCGATTACAGTAAAAAGGTAGGTATGCAATTCAAACTTTAGGTAAACTTCAGGCCCGCGGCCCGTATTCGTTGGAACTCCTGGATTTCCAGTCGGTGGCACATCACCTGGCCGTCACGGACGGAGTCAGAGGACGTCACGTCCTGAGTCGGCGACACGTCAAGTCCTGAGTCGGAGGACGCTACGTCCTGAGTCCGTGACCCGTCTTTTTCTCGTCAAGTACGGAGTCGGTGATGTGTTTCGGATGGAGTCGGCGACGCATCCCGTACGGCCAGATGACATCCGAGTCGACAGCTCAGTGACGCCACGGTTCAATTACGACAGATTACGGGCTCGATATTTAATCATCCTGCATCGACCGTAGCGTGCTTCAGTTTCCTGACAGAAGATGGGTGTAGCGTGCGCGGACTGTGATGAGGCTGGATTGTGTTCTCCTCTGCCCTCTGCGTCTGCTAATACCAACAGAAGTCAGGACAGGTATTTAATTTCGCCCTGTATCTAAACGATATCGCTTGTGGAGAGAAACACTTCACACCTAAGCACAAAGTCTGGTGCGCAAATAAAACACTTAGCAGCTAGCTTAAAAGTGTTTTGATTTTTAAATCAACGGTATCACGAAGGTCTCGAGTGATGCATACGACTACAATTCAGCTTATTTTAGGGGTGCGTAAATTGTACGTAAATTTCTCGGCCGTGTTAGATCATATATCCTAGTTCAGCGTCTTGTAGCAAACGATGCCCGGCGGAGCCATGATTTAGAATCGCGCCGAGGGAGCCGGGTCGGCGTGTAAAGGTCACGGTTCGTGGTGCGCCATACTGGGAGGGTCAGCCGCTGAGGCGCACACCGGATGCCGTTCACGGCTGTGACCGTACAGCTGTCCGCAGTTGTGGCTGACCCGGTCTCCTATCTCCTCGCCCTGTGACCCCCCAAACCGTTCAGCGGGCCGTGACACAAACTGTACCCGTCCGGCAGGTCGTAACACAAACCGTAACCCGTCCAGCAGGCCGGACTTAGACCCTCAGTCCGTCAAACAGCTCCAACCCGGACCGGTGTCAGTTCGGTGACCCGGACCGTCCGGTGACACCGTCCTGTGACCCGGACTGTCCGGTGAGACCGTTCCGCGGACAGGACCGTCCGGTGAGACCGTCCCGTGACCCGGACCGTCCGGTGAGAACTGGTTCGCGGACCGGACCGTCCAGTGGGCAGTGAGACCGTCCCGTGACCCGGACCGTCCGGTGAGAACGTTCCGCGGACCGGACCGTCCGGTGAGAACTGGTCCGCGGACTGGACCGTCCGGTGAGAACGCTCCGTGGACTGGACCATCCGGTGAGAACTGGTCCGCGGCCGCCACCAGCGTCCATCAGACACGTCAGAGCCCAGGCTGATTTAATTACCTGGCCAGCCCCGCTCCGGCGCAGTGGTGTGGTGACAGCCAGCAGGTACAAATGACAGGCATTGGAAACGGCTAACGAAATAACCATTCACCAAATCTGGGCGGAAGCAGCTGAATACAACAATAAGCGCCAATCTCTCTTCGCTACCGGCTAAAAGTTCAGCATCATTATATCGTATTTAACCATAAAATAGTTCAGGTATGCATACAACCAGTTAAAAGAACACATATTTTTTGGGTAAATAGCATCATTGCGTTAATGTTTTCGAAGTGAACGTTTCAGTTTTAAAGGGCTGTTTCCTCTGTCAGCATGGTCCTAATCTCCATCGGGCGCTGCCCTACCCGCTACAAGGCGATTGCTTACTGCGAGTATATTAGCAGGCTAGCTCAAGGTAGGGTCTATGATATGATTTCAAGCTTTTACAACTATGACATCTTCATTCAAGGTACATTATTTCGGCTATATAGTCCGTTTTTCTTAAGTTTGCCCCTCACTGTAAACGTCTCTTTGAACACAGCACGAGAATTGCTTGCTGAATTACTGAGAAAACTGGTAAGCGCACATTGTATTGTAGTTATGAATAATATTTTCAAAAATAAGTTTTGAACATCGACGATTTAACGTTATGTTAAGCGCCGTGCAATTTATTTATTAGTTCAGACATAGTTCCTGAGAAGTCGTCTATCCCTGTGAGGCTGTAGGCATTGGCAGATACGATTTACGAGTCTGTGAAATAGTAAATAAATTTGATGAAATTGATCGTCTGTGAAATCTGGTTAAATCAGTGTGCGCCAACCAGTTTTCTCAGTAATTCAGCTAGCAATTCTCGTGCTATGTTCAAAAAGACGTTTACAGTGAGGGTCAAACTTAAAAAAAACGAACTTTAGTCGTTTATTGTTTTCGTTTCCACACCAAAACTGACAAGAGAGAACTGCACTTGCCAGGCCATCCGGGATGGTAAAGGACTTTATGTAACAATATGTAAACCAGGTTATGCGAATGGGATCATGCAGCCCACCTCTGACACTCAGCATATGGTGATGGGCCGCGGACTTTCAACACAGACACACTGTTAGTATAATAGCGTGTCTAGCAGCGTCAGCGCATAAAGTGTCTCTCAAGTCAGGTATGGATTACAATGTGAGTGTGACTCGTCATGCCCGGCATTGTAAAACAGAGGGCTGACATTACCATGCACCACGTGTCTCATGAGTGTCACCACCACCAACACGATAGTTATTTGTGACCTCAGCTGTCTCAGAGACGCCCTCCTACATAGTCGATTCGTGCAGTCAAGTCTGACTGAGTTTCCTCCCTAGCTGAGACGCCTGGTGTGGCGCTGTGACCGGCTGACCTGACCGTGACCCCGGCCGCCACCTCTGGATGGTGTCCACGCGCACAGGACACACACTGCCTGATCCCGATCCCGCAGGTCGCACCCGTAACCGAGAGAGGTCGACGACCATCAATGAACGTCAGGCGCACCAGCACTAGCCACGTGCAGTGCGTCAGTCCGTTCCGTGACTAACCTCTCTGCCCCTGCCGTGTGTCCGCAGAGCCCGCGCGGCGTCCGAGCCCGCCCCGGCGTCATGTCGGCGCTCAACTGTACGGCGCCGCTGGAGACGGCCGTCAACAGCACGGCGGCGCTGCTGGCCGCCCAGCGGCGCCAGCTGCTGGCCGACATCGAGAGCCGGCACGCGCTCATCTACATCATCGTGGTGCTCTCCTTCTACTCGGCCGGCATAGTCATCATGATGGTGAAGTACATGAAGCAGGAGCGGGAGGAGCAGCAGGAGGCCAACATGTACCGGCGCTACCTGCACACGGCGCGCCAGCAGAGCGGCCACACGGCCTCGCGCGGCCGGCTGGCCAACCGGCTGGCGCTGCAGGCGCTCAACATGGCCAACGCCGTGCCGCAGACCACCCGCCAGGGCAGCAAGGTCACCTTCGTGTGACCGCGCGCCGGGCGCCGGGCCGGCTGTCCGTGCCGGGCGCCGGGCGGGCTGTCCGCGCCGGGCCGGCTGTCCGCGCCGGGCCGGCTGTCCGCGCCTGGCCGGCTGTCCGCGCCGGGCCGGCTGTCCGTGCCGGGCTCCGGGCCGGCTGTCCGTGCCGGGCGCCGGGCCGGCTGTCCGTGCCGGGCGCCGGGCGGGCTGTCCGCGCCGGGCCGGCTGTCCGTGCCGGGCGCCGGGCGGGCTGTCCGCGCCGGGCCGGCTGTCCGCGCGCTGCGAGACGGGTGCGTCCCGAACAGAGCTGAAGCAGCTTGCACTAAAATGCCTAACGAGATAGAATCGACAGCTTACATTCATAGAAACTCAGCTATGAGGGCAATTTATATTGCACCACAAGTTCCCATCCCAAACCTTGTGCTACTCGGCATAATGATCCTATTGGGTGTCCGGTACAAAGTAAATTGCCAGCTACGAGTATACCTGCGTAGATATTTCGGTGCAAGATGCTTCTGTTCATCTGCAGGGCGTGTATGTACAGGTCTCGCGGGTTTTAACGGTAGGTTTTGCACCTAGAAAATTTAGTGTACTTCAGGCTATATCTTCCTCGTCTTAAGCTTTTAAGTGTTGAAGATGCCATCGACTTGTTGGTTCACAAGCCGGCCATGATAGCGTAAAATGGCTTCATCGTAGATCGATTAGTTTCTGAGATATAACCGGAAATGTAAAAGTGCGAAACCTACCGCTTAATCTCGCGAGGGCCGTACCTAACTGGGGGGGGGGGGGGGGGGCAGAGGCCGGTCGTGTGACGGTTTCGGGGAGAGGAGGGCTGTGGTAGGCAGGATAGGAGGCTGGAACACGGTCGCCACTTAGGAGACAGCGGTGGGACAAGACAAACGGTTGGTAACAGACGGCCGGGGCCGCAGTAGCAGGCTGTCTGTCTGATGTCGACTCGGAACCGCGTACCTAACTGTGGTGTACTCCAGGGAACATCGTATCAAAATCGCTGTGCTTTCTATGTGTGGAAGCATGTTTATATGTTCGGCGCGTGTGTGTGCGTGTGCCCATCCGCTTTTTGAAAAAGCCTGCTCCGCTCGAATAATTTTATGTAAAAATGTTTATTCATGTACCTGGATGAATCCATTTATATAATTATCTTTTTTCTGTGTGAGGATGATTATGTTTCAGCATTGCTGTAATTGACCCGAGATGTTTTGCTGTGGCCTTTACTACGATTAGCTATAATCGTAGTGATTAGCTATACCTACTAAATCAAAAAGGCTCATCAGTCATCACATCACCTATTCTTGTTCTTACGTGATTTGGAATACATGTAATACATGTTGTGATAAAAATAAAACGTACCTTTGCTTCCATTAGAAGTTAATGTATTCCCGTTGTGCATGCATTGAAAACCTGTACCTAGATGTTTTGCCGCATTTGCTAGGTACAGAAGGAAGGAAGCAGGGAAATAAGGAAAAATCTTATACCGCGGGAGCTCGGATCAGTTCGACGTCATGTTTCATCGTTTTATACAATTTGCATGCCAATGCTCTAGCTATTCCATGTATTTCTATATGCAAACATACTACACATATTTTATATAATTTTATAGGTATGCAACCCTGTATGCAAACAATAACCATATCGAGGACTGTCTGTTCACTGGAAGCTGACTCTTCCTTTCCAGCGCTCAGTTTAGGTATATGTGAGGACAATCGCACGTCACAAGAGAATCGTGATGAGACACAGACCGACGAGACCTTTGAGCCATTAGCGTTTTCAGGGCAACTCCTGCCAAACGAAAAGCAATGCATTATGCAACAACGAAAGTGAACTTGATATCACCTTCCAGGCCACTTTCCGTTATGCCCTCGAGACCGGCATAAAGAATTGTGTCAGCTTTTATGCTTTTTATAGCTTTTATGCTTACAGCTTTTTATTAAAAGAGGTCTTTTGAATTGCTAAAATTGTGCACCAATCTGTCCGTGCAATGGGCGGGATAAATGCCCTATAAGGACGTTTCGCGCCAACGCTTTCAGACCCTGCTAAAATGGTGTCGTCGGTCCCATTGTACCGAAAATGTCGAGCATCTAACAACTGCTTCGCCATAATCAGACTAAGAATGACGATGGAATATGGACGAACTAGTTGCTCAATCCGCAAAGTAGTGATGTAGCATGTATCGTTACTCCAGTACGTCATACGATGTTAGCGATTCTTTACAACGGTTGATCACAGTTTCAACCATGAAACCTCAGGCATATTTCTAGCTGGCTGGATCAATGGTCATTAAGCAACAAGCACCCAGAGCGCGTAAAAAAAAAAACAGTCCTCAATCTCATAATCAACTGCCCAAAATGTTTATCAATCGGTTTTCCGAAGCGATCAGTTGCTAAAACGATCATCACACTCTAATTAACCAACGAGAAACAGTGAAGCAATAATAAATCACATGTTCTAGTCAGCGATTATAATGCACCATGCGATTCAAGCACCAATATTGTGGTACGCATTCCTTTATGGACGCACTACAAATCAGGCCGAGCCAAGAAATAAAAACTTGTGTTATTTGTGTTATTTATAGTTAGATGCATCTTTCATATTATTCTAAATAAGGTAATATCATGTGCAATGCGCTTGTCAGTTGTCACAGACGGGCCAAACCGACGTGCCCACAACACTGATCGACGCCTCCATCGGCTGGTTGGGAACTCACGGTTCGTCGGAAGGTCATCTCAGGCTCAAAAGAAACGATATATACCATTCGAAAGCTGACGGTGAGCTGAACCCAAAAATGTAATTTTTATCAAAATCGATCGATGGCCTTTTTTGAAAATTGCGTTTTTGTAAAAACTTAATAATCTTTTATTCAACGGGCTGTCCCGGACATTCTTGAAAACATAAACATGTATTTTTGAGTTCCAGTGAAAGCTGAACGCCAAAAGAACAATATTTAGCGAAGCAATATTTCCAAACATTAATATGCGTCTCCCACAGCCGACAATAAGGCGCAATGACACAGCTCAGTGTCACGATGGACCAAAATCAGCCACACAGAAGCGTGAAATGACCCTTATCGACTCGCAGACCCGGCCGGCGCTCTCGGCCCGCCTGACCGGCCACGGAAATAACGTTCGGCTCTCGTTCTACTAAACAAATGTCAAATTTGTCAGTTTAACTGTCCACATCGCTGTTAAAGTTATTCAGGATACCTGTGAAGAAAATTCATTGTTCTGTCATCTTCACATCATGCATTAATTTGCATTTGTTCATGTCTACTTTGCTCAATTGAGCTTGGTATCATGCCCATATAAGGAAAATTGGCCGCGCTGAAATGTCAGAGGTTGCACCGGCCTCAGCTCGGGTGGAGTGGGGGTAGCGCCCGGCGGGGCAGGGTAACCTTTGACCGGTCGCACGGCCGAGCAGCTGTCACCAGTACAGCCTCTGACAGTGAAACCCCGCTCACTTCCCCTGCGCGGGCACTGATCGCAGCTGGATGGAACAAAACATGTATAAGAAAAATGTAAATTAAAGCATGTTGTAAATCAAGCAGAACAATGAATTTTCTTCCCAGGTATCCTGAATAACTTTTATAGCGATGTGGACAGTTAAAGTGACAAATATGACATTTGTTTAGTAGAACGAGAGCCGAACGTTCTTTTCGTGGCCGGTCAGGCGGGCCGAGAGTGCCGGGTCTGCGAGTCGATAAGGGTCATTTCACGCTTCTGTGTGGCTGACTTTGGTCCATCGTGACACTGAGATGTGTGATTGCGCCTTATTTTCGGCTGTGGGAGACGCATATTAACCCTAGAACGCCTAGGGGGGGGGGGGGGTTGTATCAACCCCCCCCCTGAGGTTTTTTCGAAGTGCACGCTAAACGGCTTGTCGTAGCGGGCTGAAATTTTCAATACCCTCTGGGGCAACCTTTGCGCATCTTTTGCCGAAAAAAATTGATCGGGTCATGTCAGGTCACGGAGTTATGACGTCATAAGAGGTACAGCCTCCGGCCGGATTTTCACAAACTGAGTGCCAACGCCCGAGGTTTCCTGCCGGTGGTACGGACATCGGTTGATGGATCGTGATGAAACTTCCCATGCATGTTGGGGCAAGTATTGGCTATCATATGGTATAAGAAACTTGACCGGGTCAGGTCAGGTCACGGAGCTATGACGTCACAAGAGGAACAGCGTCCGGTACTATTTTTGAAAAGCGCCCGAACCACTATTTTGCTAATTCTTGTCACCTCAATGGGAATATGCAGCAATATTAGCTTCTATAGGGAGCAAATGGACCTCCCAAATCCAAAAATACAATCAGATTTCAAAAATTTAAATTTTGATTTTTCGAATTTCTGCCGCCGACTGTGACCTTGCCGACTTCCGGCGCTCCCAACGCGCCATTTTTAGAGCTAGGGAAACGAAATACATACCAAACGATAGAGAATTGATCAAGGAACACGATAGTGAAGGTTTCAAGTCGATATCTCCCACCGTTTTGCCGCAATCGCCGCGGAAAGTTGAACAAGTTTGATTTTTTTCGGAAAATTTGACCTTTGACCGGTCATAAGTAGGTCAAATGTTGACCTAGGACCAAAAAATATACCACCAATCGCGAGATCTCGTTGAGAGCAATCCGTTGGTTTTTTCCGCTAAGCTCTACGACCTTCCGTTTCGAAACGCCAGGGGGGGGGGGTCGTAACAACCCCCCCCCCCCTGGTCGTTCGTGTTATGAGAAATGGCCTGGTCGTGCGAGGGTTAAGGCCGCCGTCCACTGTGCGGAACGCGTGCGGTCCGTACGGAATTTAACACAGAACCCTATGGGCGCATCCGGTCCGTACGGAAATCGTGTGCGCTCCGTCCGGACCGCATCCGAACGGCAATCAGCTGTTGATTTTCCGTCAGCTCTCCGCATGCGTTTCGGATGCGGTTGCTACGGAGACGGAAGAGTGATGTCCGACGCGTTGAACTTTTCTGCGGAAAACGCATCCGGAACGTCCGGAACAGACGTGGTTTGGGGCC